TTATACAATAAATTAATAATCCTCTTTTTTTAATTTATTCCCACCCATTTTAAAACTTGAACTTAAACTTCCAATTAATTTGGAGTATTGAGTTCTTGAAGTTTTGATATTCTTAGAGATCTCTTGATAAAGTCATCCTTTCTCCTTTCTTAATGTTTGTAGGTATCAATTTGGGATTTACAGTAGTTTGTTTAGTAGTTATTAGTGCATGGGGGTTGTCCAAAATGTTAAAGAAGAGAAGGAAAATGAAGCTTCGGAGTCGGTTCTTCAAACAAAGCTTATTATGGCAGCAACAATTGTCTTCAACTGAGGGTAACATTGAAAATACCAAAACATTTAGTATCAAGGAGTTGAAAAAGGCAACTAATAACTTCAATAGGAATAGAATACTTGGTCAAGGAGGTCAGGGCACTGTTTATAAAGGAATGTTAGTTGATGGAATAATTGTTGCAATTAAGAAGTCCAAAGTACTGGATGAAGGGAAAGTACTGGATGAAGAGAAAGTTAAAGATTTCATCAATGAGGTGGTCATTCTTACACAGATTAATCACAGAAACATTGTTAAGTTATTAGGGTGTTGTTTGGAGACTGAAGTTCCTTTGCTAGTTTATGAATTCATCCCCAATGGGACACTTTTGCAGTACATACATGATGAAAATGAGGACTTCCCATTATCCTGGGAAAGACGATTAGCAATTGCATCAGAAGTTGCATCTGCCCTTTCATACTTGCACTTGGCAGCCTCCATTCCCATTTATCATCGAGATGTCAAATCCTCAAATATTTTACTAGATGAAAAGTATAGGGCAAAAGTTTCGGACTTTGGGATATCGACATCAATTGCCGTTGATCAAACTCATTTGACCACAAATGTTCAGGGCACATTTGGGTATGTAGATCCTGAATATTTCCAATCAGGTCACTTTACAGAAAAGAGTGATGTCTATAGCTTTGGAGTTGTCCTTGTTGAGCTTTTAACTGGAGAAAAACCAGTTTCTCTGGAAAGGGCAAAAGGTGGAAGAAATTTGGCCCCTTATTTCAAACTTTCCATGGAAGAAAATAACCTCTTTAACATTCTTGATGCTCGAGTTAAGGATAGTTCTGCACATGAAGAAATTATAAAGGTTGCTAAACTTGCATATAGATGCTTAAGCTTGAGTGGTGAAAGGCGGCCAAGGATGATAGAAATTGCTATGGAGTTGGAGCAAATTTGTTTCTTGCAAAACAATTCAAATGGTCAAAAAAATAATGATGAGATTACAAATGTCAGGACTGAAGTAACCAATCATTGGGATGTTGCCTCGTCCTCAGGAGCTGCTTTGTCAATAGACATGGAACAAGCATTTTCAAGTGAATCATGGGGATTGTTAGAAAAGCAAGTGAGCTCAAATATCAAATGATATAGGTGGAGATAGACTATGTTTTGTATGGGTGTAGTTTCATTATTACTTGTCATAATATTATTATG